GCCATGCTCTACCCTTTTGGAAGAGTTACTGGATAGATCCTATTACATTTGCACACTTGAGAGAACCTGCAAACCTGTGAAAATGGAACACATGGTACCAATTATCCTCAAATATGTGAAGATATGTTACTCAGAAGATGCACCAGCATTTACCAAACGTGTGCACATGCATGTGGTTTTTTTGGGGGGGGGAGGTTGAGTGGTAGATAGCGGAGGGATATATGGAGACAAAGTGTGAGTCGAGTGTGTTGAAGTGAAGCAGAGCGCAAAGGTCCTGCTGCTGCGTGTGAGGAAACAAACCAGCAGTCTCAATAGTGTGTAATGGAGAGAGGAGATAGGATGTCTTCTGTCTCACACACCAGATTTCCCCAAAAAATATGTCAGAGTATAGTCTTTACCCACTTTAAATTATAAATCATATCTCAGTATATCAATCATTAGGATGTTACTGTGTTATACTGCACCTATCACCCCTTCAGAAAACACCCATGTATCACAGAAACAGATTTTTATGCTGTTCACCGTTCTTCAGCTGTGTCCATGCTCCTCTTTTTGGAAACTCTGTACAATTAAACATTCATACAAAGTGAGCCAAACCTATAAATAGCTTGTTAAGAACAGAGAGGAGATTGATGTCTAACAGCAGTAACAATTTCAGTCATTTAAGGACACCCTTAAAAGAAATAGATGGAAGCTTCTAGTGGGGTTTCAGGTTTCCACTCACACATGCTGACCAACGGGACACTGCGACACTGGTGAGGACTCTCGTGTGACTGGACCTGTCAGTCAGTCCAATTAGTGTAGGAGAATAGTGATATGAGGTTTGTAATCAGTGCAGTGCCCACAGTCCACCAGTATGGAGAAGACTTTTAAGCAGGTCATTTACTCTTGCCCTCTTGTTTGAAACCAGTCAACTGTGACATTTTTGCAAACTGGATAATCTAATTATTCTTTGGGCTCCTAAACTTCTTGCCAAACTGCATTTGGCTGTTGTACAGAGGAATACATTGGATGTGTTACATAATGTATTTGAAATTGTAATTAAAAGCTCATTATTGCAAACACTGACCTAATCCCACTGCCTGATTCGCATGTGCTCATTACCATCATGTTGTGATCACTGAGTTTAGTCTTTTGCTCAGCAGAAGGCTTTCCTGACTTTTCTTTTAACCTTAAAATGTCAGGGTATAATGGTGCATGGTCTTCCAGGACCTTTACTGGGTAATTCCAGTATTTTTAAACCTGGGCCATATTTATTATTATTTATTTTTTTACATATTCTGGGGTCTAAATGACTAGGTACCGAATATTTGTGTGTTAACTAACCCTTTAAAAGAACAAAAACAAAGCAATTGAGGCAGTGGTAGACCAGTGTTGCAGTGTCTGCCAGATAAAATGACTGGTGGATTCTAACAGAGCAACGTAATGGCTGTTTCTGGTTAAACAAAAAGCATCTAGCTCTTTAACAAAAAGGTTTATCCAGGATCATTTCCATAATGTTGCCAGATAAATTAAAATAATAACAATCTGAGCCTGTCAGTGGGAACAACAAGCACTTTAGGTGGACGTATTTTGACGGGCCTATTTCATGGCTGCCAGCTGAGACGATCTACTGGGCAAATTCTAAACCTTTTTGTGTATTAGTCATTTAGACCCCAAAGTATGTATAGGGCCCAGGTTTAAAAATACCAGAATTACCCTATAACTTCAAAGCAGCACAGCATCCAATATACAGTATTTGAACTCATAGGGTTCTGTTTTGTTCCTCAAACAGAAGAAACTAAAAGGTTTGATTATATAATTGCATTAAAATGTGTTTTATAGTTCATGTGATTGCAATCTAAAGTATGCATTTTGTTTTTATGTCTCAAGTTTTTCCATGCCAGACAAGAAACAGGCTCTGAGTATCAAGATATTATCAGTTTTTATACAAGGAAATGGACCCCAACACACATAACTTGCAACCCAAGATATGACTGATGATTGCATTTGTTTCTTAACTGTATGATTGTATGTTTTACTTTACTTTCTTTGAACCCTCTGCTGGAGAAAGTGCCACACCCTGTGTAAAACCAATGTGTATCTGTGACACAGCATAGTATAGAGAAGAGTTATACATTTACTGAATTGGCTCAATTAGTATTTAAGGTTTGTTAACAATATCAAAAGCTATTGGTCATACTGGCACAGATTCAGGATTCAGGAAAGTTTCACACTTTCCATCCTTTGGATCCCTGGACTGTCATATAACAAGGTCTCCGCCACCGGGATCCATCCAGCTAAGTAGCAAGTTTGATGTGTCTGCCTGCTTTCCACACGGCTTTTCCCTAAGATCCCAAATAATGTCATTACGATAGAGAACAGTGCCTGGAACTTAATCTTTTTCAGCTTTTTAACAAACCCACCCGAACCAAATTTCAAAAATCCTCTTAACTCCACATTAATTAAGATTATACTATGAACAGGACACACAAATACCCTGCCTCTGAAGTCTTTGCCCTTGGTGTTAGTGGTCGCTGTCTGCCTTTGTCAGAGAGACTAAAATTTAGATCTCATATTATCAACACAAGAAATTATGAGCATTTTAGTGTTTAGGGATTTTTTTTTGCTGATTTTTCAATCTCTGAATATAATAATGAATATTTTAGTGTTATTGCTGACAGACATGCTCCTTTTTAAAAACAGATTCAGTCCTTGGTTCTCCCCACTCCCAACTCTCTAATGCCATCCACAGCAGAGACGAAGCCCGGGACCCCTGAAGACTGGTTAACCTTTAGCCAACAAAGAAACATCTGCCACAGCAATATCAGGAAGGCCAAATCAAATTAGTATCAGTCAGTTCTCTCTGGAACACTGTAGCAGTTCATCACAGCCACACCTCCCACCTCAGATCAAACAAGTATCTGGCCATATTATCAATAGATCATCCACGGTTGTAGTTTTTAATCACCGTTCCGTCTCATCTGGTCATATATTTAATACATCTGCAGACAATTATAATATCTGTCCAGCAGAGAGAGTCCCCAATGACTCAGCTTCCTCTGACTACAAATTATCTTTTAAGTTTGTTAAGCAGTGCGTGCAGATAATCTTGATCCATATAACTAAGTGCCCCCTTAATCTGTTCACGTTGAGGTCATATTTCTAACCAAACCTTTTTAACAAGCATGTTTCCAGCTTTGTTGGAAAGCATCTTAGTCAGTTTGTCTATCACCGTCTATCATCTCAACCAATCAGATCAACGAACCATAGAACGTAGTCAAATGTGTGGAAACACCTTCTCCATAGAGAAAAGGCTTCAGTGCCGAAATGAGTTTCCACAGGGGTCTAAAATGTCAATTTTTTTGTTGATAATACAATTCTTTATGCCCCATTTTTCACCCCAGCTGTTGCTCATCTTCGGTCAGCCTGCTTTCCAATTATCACTCCTTAATCACAGACTAGTTTTTAATGTAGAAAAGACCAAGTACATGCTATTCTCCACCTCCAGCAGTGACTCTGACTATCCTGCTGTTAAAACTTTAAATTGCACTGACACTGCTCTTGCTGAGTCCTACAAACACTTGACAGCAGACAAGATTCATATTCATGACTCGAAAATTAAAAACCCAACTGTGAAACTCGTGTGCAGTCCACCTTCATGTCTGTCCATGAGATATTCTGTATTGTCGTGCTGCAACATCAACATTTCATCAGTTAAACCCTGTGTATCACAGTGCATTACAGTTTATCACACATGACACATTTCAGACTTTGTTCTCTGTATCACATGGTTGAATGGACTTCCTCACAGTCAATTAGAAAATAGCCCTCTCATGTTATTCATTTGTAAAGCTCAACAGTTGAAGCTCCCAAACTACACCACATCTCTTCTCTCATCTAAATGTACAGGACACAATCCAGTAACTACTTAACCTTAGATATCACTCATACCCTCTACTGTTGGCAGAACTGGGTTTCAGATATGCATCCTTTTAATGAAATGACCTGCAATCTGTCCTCAAACTGAAGACTTACATTCCCCTTGGATATTTTAAAGCTTTATTATCTGATGTTTTTTATATGATTGTTTCCATGAATCCCTTGGGGTTAGAAAAAATAAAAGACCCTCCCCTGCTCTCCCCAATAAGTCTAATACTTGTCCTACAGTACCTTAGTTCATGAAAACTGACCTAAAGAAACAATTTACGGACTACTTTCCAAAATAGTGCAAAGAACTGGAAATGACTTAGTGGCCATTGGAGACAACTACAGGCTAGAAAGTAAATAGGGCAATTGAATGATGATGGCATATTTGCCAAGAAAGAAAAATGGCGTGAAAGTGCAATAAATATCTTCTTCACCTTCACACTGCTGCCGGAACACTTGAAACATAAGACAACAAAATATGAGGTTGTGTTCAACATAAAATCTTCACAAAAGGACACAGAAACCATACAGTTTCTCTCACCTTGGTTGTTCATGGGACACTACAGGTCTTGATGTAAGGAGGGATGTGATTTATCTGGGATGGAGACCCAAGGATAAAGCCAGATGGAGGGGAAGAGGTTGTTATTATTTATGGAGAGATATGAAGGCAGACAGGCAAGGCTGTGGAAACTCCACCACGCTGAGACTGGAGGCTCACTTTAGATAGCAGCCTGATTGTCCAACACAGAGGTCACACGCTACATGTTATATTACATAATTTTAGTCATGAATGAAGAGAGCGGGGCATCCCACATACTGTAGGACATTTAGAAAAAGATTTCCCTTCTGGCTTTGACCTGATGTAAATAAATAAAGAGTCAGTTGTTGTTGTTCCTGAAAGTCTTTCATATTCATTTTATCTCATAAAAAAACTTTCCAACCTCTATTTTTGAGCGTCTGCTTGTCCCTAATTTAGGCATATTTCACACATCTTGATCATTAAAGCTGCTGTTTCCATCCTTTATTGACATCAGCTTATTTATCCGGGTCTATTTCAAAATCCACACTTTTATCGTGTCTTTGTCTCTCACCTGCATTCCTGAGCTTTTTGTTCCTGTACACGGACAGGATAACGAGGACATTGCCCAAGATGTCGACCACAATGGTGAAGATCAGCACGCTGGCCAGCGCAGTGGACACTCCAGCGGAGGAAGCGCTCAGCCCGCGGTCGCTCTCATTCCGGGACAAACAGTTCGACCCGTTCACATCCTTCACCTCTAAATCCATCTCCCATCAGGGTGCAGTAGGCATGATGGGAATACTACAATGTTCAGCTAAAAAAAAAAGAAACACACACACCAAAAAAATCAAAAGAATTTTCTTGGAGGGGGTCTTGAACTTTTTTTTTCAGGGATGAAACCCATACTCCTCCTTCACCTATGGAGTAAACAGGATGAAGACGCGAACCATGGCATGATCATAACATAGATTTTACGCATGCAGGGAAATTTAAGAAGTTCATCTCTGAGGTGATAAAGATGCCAGGAGCTCGTGTTTCACCGTCGTCCTCCGTGTGGTCCTCATGAGTCACCAAGGCTCTTCCTGCGCGCTGCTCCATTCTGCCAGGAGGGCATGTGAGCGCACTCCTGTGCGTAATGGAAATGCGAGAACGCGAGGCACATACACGAGGCAACTGGGAGTCCCGTGTTGGCTTTTGATGGCCTTAATAAAGACTATATTCGTGTTTTATTCTGTCTCCAGGCAGGCAGATTGGAGCGCTTGTTAAAAATATGTCAGATAAGATTGTGTGTTGTTTCAAACTATAAATAAAAAAAGCTATTTTTGCATCCTAACCCTCTTCTCTGCACCTGTCTCATTAAATAACAACCCCAGCGTCTGACAGAATGTGGAGTTGAGGAGAGTCGTGCCAGGGAGGCTAGCCTGTAGCTTATTTTAATTGCAAGGGTTACAGCAGCAGCCATTAGCAACTTGTCAGGTTTCTTACTGATCTTCATTAAGACAGAGCCTCTCCTTCCATGTGCATGGAAATGGCGCCTTCATGTGTCCAATAGAGACTCTTGCAAACAGTGAAAAATACTCAAAGAGGACTGATTAATATTTTACAATCGTATGTTAGGAAAGGTTTATTATAAATTGTGCATCACTGGTGTTATTTAAGGCACTGAAATCATACACTAAATCAGGATAAAACATGTTGAAGAAATTAAACAAAACATTTTTTCATTTCTAAAAATTGTACTTTTTAATTGAGCCAGCTGGTTCAGAAAGTGATGATGTCAAGTAAGATTAAAAACCTCTTTGAAGTCATATTGTTGGCGATAGCGCTTCAATAAAGGATTATTTTTACTGGATGTTTTTGTTGTTAGTTTCTTTTTTTTACTGTATTTTTGGACAGTAACTTACCCTGGGCCCTGACACCCAGGGGCCTTGAAGGATTTTACATACCATTAATCGTATTTGATTATAATATGAAAACATATTCTATTTCTTTAATTATATTTCATTTTCCAATTGCATATATGTGTTGATGAGCACTGTTAAACCACTAACCAGAAAAGGACTGTGGAGCATCCCAACCGAAATTTATTTATTAACAAATTCTCAAGTTTTATTGGAATCCCACTACAGTCAAAATTAAAGTTAATAAATGCATTATAAACCCCCAAAATCTATATTAATGTCCGCCACTAACAACAGCCCAGAAGGTATAACCACCACACTGACCATGTGTGGGTCCGATTGCAGAACCTATTAATGAATGTGTGCTGTGTCACATTTCTAAAGCACGGTTTATTTTTGTATATAGAAAACAATGTTACTTTTAAAATAAAAAGGCTAATAACACTTGTGGTCTGAAATGTGACTAAAATGTCTGTACATATTGCAATCTCATCTCATCCACACTACAGAAAAATGATGTGAATCTCAGGAAACAAGGAAGAAATTCAATATCCTGTAACAGAGGCTACACTGTACTAAGCCTGATGTGTCCTTATTGCAAGATCAAGACTGCATCTCTACAGGCAAAAAATAAAAGCTTCTGTACAGACTAAATAAAATGTGATTGTGATGGAGAAACTTTGTGTTTTGACTCTTTTATTGCTTGGAAGAATTTTAATTGTATTAGTGGTTTATTGGATCATAAAATGCTTAAACTGAAGGTCCTTTAAGACGTGTCCACTAATTTCCAAAAGTCAAACTAAGTTGTGTAATCTTTTTCAGTTGGCACGTCACTTCATTAATTATACATTGCTATCGACAACACAAACATTGTGGTTCTGTAAGAAATAGTTACACAACTATAGCCCCGGGGATAACTTAACAAAATGTTACAGGTCTTCTGGAAATGTAGACATAAACAGGCTTATGATTACAACAGTGACGCCTAAAGTGTATGAGTGTAATTTACTTTTTGAGGGGTGACATGTTTTTCCTTCAGGGCATCCTGTAGCCAAACATGTGGCCTTGGTGCTCTGCACAGTCTGTGACTTGGTAATACAGGCTTCTCAAAGCATAGCCATTAAGGCTCCATTCCATTTAGTGTAGCAAAGCCTTTCCAGTGAGCCAACTTGCACAATCACACCCTGACTCTGTTGGACCTGAATGAAGCAGAACCTTAATGTTAGCAAAAGCATCCTATGTACACACAGAACAAGAGCATCCCATTAAAGTCATGTGATATGATAAATGTTCATCAGTCCAACATGCACTTACCTATTACAGGATTTTTATTCAAATTAAAAGGCTGGAGTGAAGTAAGATCTCCACCCCATCTGCTCTTTTCACAGCAGACATTTTGACAAGGCACAGGGGTAATTAATTATATGTTTTTAATATTAGAAACAACTATATTCCCATGAGCTAGTCCCCAGTGTCCTCATATTGTGCACATTGGCTCACTGGTATGGCTTACCAGGACACTTAATGGAACTGAGCCACTGTTAATAAAATGTGTATCACCTGTGTTTATCGTGCTAACAAGTCAAAATGTCTGCTGTGAAAAACGTCTTTGGCCTAGCTATACAGGCTATATGCAGTTAAAAAATATAGAAAAAGCCTCTAAAAAAGATTTAATTTTCCATAACTTTACAGTTATGACGTAGATTTATATTCCATGTATGTAATCATCAATGCATGTCAATGCTTAAAAGTCTCATCTCAACGTCAATTTAGTAGTAGTATCAGCAATAAAATATAAAAACTTATAGTACACATTCAATTATCTTTAAATTATTTAAAGTGAACCTTCAGTGTTGACGGTTGTATCAGTTTTATTAGTGAAACTACACACATTTTTTATCACACTTATCCACTTTTATTAATCTCTCAATGTGCAAAACCAGATTCTTCAATTTGAACTAACCAAACATACTTTTCTCAAAGCACGCCACTGAACACACTTACCATACATTTACATCATTCCACTTACTACTAAAACCTTTATATCTGTGTGCCTTTTTCACCATAAGCTTTCAGTACTGTACATTGAAAATATGGCTGGGATTATTAGCATAATTACTTGGACACACAATGTGACAAAAATCTAAGGCACTAGAAGTCATAGACTACGGTCCACATATTATGCTGAAGCACACATAGATCTAGGACAATGAGGGTAAAGACAAAATATCCACAGCAGGCTTTTTCTGCTCAGCAAACAGGCTAGATGTGACATAAGAGACATCACATGAAAAATACAAAACAGGAGCACATGATTCATTTCTTGTCTGTTAGCCAAAATATAGGAGCTTGTGTATGCAGTCTTTGTATTATGTAAGAGGAGCTTCATCACAGTTCTGTGTATGAAGAGCCTAGTCTTTCTGCAGAAATTATTTACCCATACAAAATGGAAATATAGGCACAAGTATGTCCTGGTGTGGCTAATCTCCAGGCCAAGATCCGTGTCCAGCCAGGCCTGAGAAGGGGGTCACAGGTGGCATCCAGCAGTGGAAGTCACAGCACCTGTTTAAGCATCTGGACCATCATGGCCGATATGTTTTGATAACATCTTTGATGGGCCTCCTGCATATTGGACAGCATGCATTGATCTGTCTCTTCAGCTTCAGCCCACAGTCGTTGCACAGACACATGTGTCCACAGGTGTAGATGACAGTGTCCACCTCCTGGTCGAAGCAAATGGTGCATTCTCCATTTTTTCCAGCAGGGGGCAGTTCTGAGGCAGTGAAAGTGGGAGAGACGGGAGGACTGAGAGGGGAGCTGGGAGCAGTCACTAGAGGAAAAAGAAAAAAACATGTAGGTCTTGGTCAGACATGGATGCACGGATACAGATAACTCTTGTTATTGTCACTGTTGTGGGAAGTGTATGAATACTGTTGTTTTTATATTCTATTCTTTATTCTCTCTTATATTATATTATTTATTGTTTATCTGTGTTTTGGAGGGTGTTGGTGGCAAAATACACATATTCATGTTAGAATCTGATCTTTGATAAGTTATTTAAAGGACACAGTGTGTAAGATTTAGTGGAATCTAGTGTTGAAGCTGCAGACTGCAACCATTTGAACACAGCTCAGCCTTCCACGTGTATAGAAGAAATTATGGTGGCGCAAAGGTCAGTATCTAGAGCCAGTGTCTGGTTTATCCGTTCTGGGCTATTGTAGTAACATGGCGGTTCAACAAGGCAGCCTACGTAGACCTGCTCCCTCTGTAGATAAAAATACCTTACCATAAACATACCTATGAATATTACATTCCATTTCTGCCAATAGATCATCATAAATGTTACATACTGGTCTTTTAAACATAACAAACACAGTATGTTCTAGGGCTGAAACTTATTATTATTTTCACAATCAATCTGCTGATTATTTTCTTGATTAATTCTCGTTTCATATAACATCAGTAAAAATGTTAAAAATGTCCATCACAATTTCCTGGAGCTAAAGGACAGATGATTAGCCCACAATCCAAAATCCAAATATATTCAATTCATTACAGTACACAGTACTACAATAAAGACAACAGCAAATGTTCACATTTGAGAAGCTGAAACAGGGATTTTCGACTTATAAGACTTAAGGTCTGATCGAATAATAAAATAATTGCGAATTAATTTTCTGTCGGTTGACTAATCGATTAATTCAGTAATCATTGCAGCTCTAGGATGTACCAAATCATGGAAGTATATCTTTAACAATGTGAATATGTCATATAAGAAAGCAAAACAAAACATTGTTTTCCATGTCTGCAGTATTGTGGAGTCTAACAGAGGGGCCAAACCTGTACACCGTAGGAGCCTCCCTGCTGTGACCTTGTGAAGGTTTCCATATACAATGTAGCAGTATGCGTGATGACAACCTACCGAGAGAGGATTCAGAGGCAGAGGAGGATCTGTTGACACTGAACGCAAGGTCTGAGTCACTGTCATCTGGACTGCTGCTCTGGGAAGTGCTTGGGGATGTGGAGGGAGGACTGGACTGCAGTGTTCCTGTGTCACAAAGATAAACACATGAACAAACCCCAGATAATTAGACTCATGTAAAGCCTTTAAACGTATGCATTTAGACAAAGTGTATATATTTTAGTTGGTATCATTTCAATACAGCGTCTTTGAACTGTTTGAGTGTAACGCTAGAGTCTAAGGTGTTACGCTGACTGGCCCTAACCAGTCAGATTAGATATACATATTTGCATCACTTGAACTTTCATGGAGTGATTTTCTTCTAGTTAGTTCTGTATGAGGATAATATTGTTGGATCAGAAGCTGGTGAAACTGGGGTCTGAGATGATGGGAGTTTGTGTGGGAGTAGTGGGACTAGGACAGATAGGTCACAGCTCTAAGCTGAACAGAAACATGCAGACATAAAGTACTCAACTGCATTCCTCTAGTCTGGGAAAAAAAATAATTGCAGGGGCTGCCTAGACGCAAGAATAGACTGATGATAACTGAAGAGTCCTGTTTGGGCATTTATCAGTTTGACATTTGGGGAAATATGCCAATTAGCTTTTTTCCGGCAAGTTGAATGAGACCATTGATACCATTTTCATTTCTGTCTGTTAAATATGAAGCTACAAACAGTTAGCTTAGCTTAGCACAAAGACTGGAAATAGTAGTAATCTACTAGCATGGCTCTGTCTTCTGGCTGTGTGGCAACTGCACAGAGCCAAGAAATAGTCTGGCACACAACCCCCAGTCTTTGTGCTAAGCTACGCTACTGTAGCCTTATATATAATGGACAAATATAAGTGTGGTATGAATCTAATCATGGACGAGAAAGTGAATAATTCCACAAAAAGTGTAAGAATTCACATTACCTAGTATCCTGAGTCTGTTGACAGCGCCATGCAGGGTGAAAAAGGCCCACAGGACCTGAGAGGAGTCCACACAGAGCAGCCTGCCACGTCCCACTCCATTCACCCCGTGTTGCACCTCTCCGTTGGGCAGCAGACTGAAGCTGAGCACGTCTCCAGAGCAAGGCATTGGGAAGCCCCGGTGAACCACCCAATACTCTTTGCGGTCCAGGAGAACCTCGGGGTCTGCAGGCAAGTCCCCGGCGTGAAGACTAGCTGGGTCACAGGATGTTAACCCAAACAACAGTGCCCCAAAGTAGGGCAAGCCTAGGTGGCCGACTTCCACATACAAAGTCTCACCCACATGCAGAGGCCGGTCACTGAACACCAGAGTCCGACTGCTGTCCAGAAAGTGTATGCAGGCAGCAGAGCGATCTGCAGAGAGTATTACATCAGAGCCACGGATCAGGTGAAAGTGCAAGTCATTGTCCAGTGGGGAAGGAAGGCCCCGGACGACCCTCGGAACACTGAACCCAGTGGAAGCAGATGAGGATGGGGTAGAGGAGGAAGAGGTGGAGGAGCAGCAGGGGATGAGCTGAGTGTAATTATTGAGCTGGAGGTTGGCCATCTTGGCAGCAGCAGCCTGGTTGTTCTCCAGTTGATTGTTGCTGTAATTGGCTGAGTCGTGGCTACTCTGGGGCAGATAGGCACTCAGACGGGCCGCACTCAGGCAGCTGGATCCCACACTCTCAGCAAACGTGCTTTCTGCGGTGGAGAATATGGACAAACAATTACTTGACTTGGACATAGTGTGTCGTATGATCTGTCCAAAGTCAGCTCAGGTCACTTCCCTTCTTTCTACTATGTCTGAGGAAAAGCAATGAGGGCTGAGATCTTATCTGCATGTGTCAGTGCAGCCTCTTTTGCTCTGCAGTATGTGCACTGCTGTTTATATAGGCACATCTTGGGCTGCCGTTAACAAGTAATATAGAGTAATCTGCTGATTATTTTCTCAAATAACTGATTGATTGTTAATACAACTTGAAAAATTACAATAACCTAGAGCTTAAGGTGATGTCTGTAAATGTTTTGTAAAAGTATAAACAATTAATGAATAATCAAAGTAGTTTTCAATTACATTTGTGTCAATTGACTAATCGATGAATTGACTAATGGTTGAAGCTCCAGTATATTAGAATGTCTAATAAATTATTTGGTTTTTGTATGCTTCCTATGTGTGGTATGGTACACATATTTCTATGAAGATGATACAAAAAGAAAGAAACTGTCAACTTCTTGACTACTATGGACATTTATGAGACATTTTTTAACATTTGTCATTAACGTATTGACTGTATAGCACTACTATTTTGCTATTTAATACTTTTTTCCCACTGCGACTGACAGCAAGCAGATGAGATATACAAGATAAAACATGTCTCTTGGTAACCACTAGGAGAGCTAGAATGAGCTTCTACACTGAGAGCACTTTGCATGTTGCTCTTGTTGTAACGTTTGTTGCGGAGTTAAAAAAAGTTTTGAAACCAAATAAGCTGTGTTGGCCGGCTGTTTATTTGACAGTCACCAGTGTATTTACCTCTTTGCTCCATTTCTTCATTAAGCTAAGCTCTCTTAACTGCCATGCTTCATGCAGTTCATAATACAGCTGGGTTTCTGTGTGTATGAGGGGCTGATATAAACAAGTCTGGCGCTTGTAGTCCCCCTTTGACTTATGATACATTCCTTTATTACTATTTCTAGTGATGCTGGAGCAGTTGAGTGCACTGGCCCCTCACCAAAGCTCCTGGGATCTGCCGCATTGACCAAACATGGCCATAGCTCCTGTCAGACTGAAGATAAACACACCCAGTGAGTACGAGAGGGAACCACAGGGGAGAGGGTGATGGAAGAGGAAGAAATTGACAAAGCGCGGGAAAGTGACAGTAAGAGAGCGTTAAAGGAAAGGCCTGTAAAGCGGTTAGGAGTGTGAGGTTCAGGATAAATTGAGAGCTATGGTCCAGATCCTGTTTATCTCTGTATGTTGTGGTTCTGGTTTTCTAGACAAACTAGTTTTGTCACACAGATAGTGGATCATTGAGTGACTGCCAGACCCTACTACCTACTCCTCCTACTATATTGGCCTCTGCTGCTGAAGAGTTTCATTGCACAGCTGCTCTCTGAACTCTCAGTAAGCTGCTTAAATTAGCTGTGAATGTGTTGACACTATAAAAATAAGTTTGTGAGGTTTCAGGGTTGTCAAAGCCATGGTCAAAATACGTGGCTTTCTAGCTGGCGCTAGAAATGATCCATTAGTCAATACTTTATTGGATATATATGAATAGTAATGATGGATTGTGTACAGACTCATGACCAGTCAGTTGTGAAATGTGTTCCTCTCACTTCCCTTTTGAATATGAGTCAGCTTCTGCTTGACTCTTTTGACTGCAATCATTAAATAAGTATTTTATAGGTGTGTTTTCACAAAGTAAACAACATAATAAAATGCTTACCGAGCAGTGTGACCTCCTGAGTGATGCCATAGATATCTATGATGGCCCAGAGTGGACAGCCGATGCTCAGCCCACAGTGGAAGAGGATGGGCTCTCCTTCATTAATGCTGTAGAACACTCTTCCATGGCGATCGGCCCAGAATGACAACACGTTGTCCTTCAAAGCCAGTCTCTCAGGCAGAGCTTTGGCCCAGTAGCCCGGACGTGTCACCAGGTCTGGGCAAGCGTACTTGGGGATATCTGTAGTGACCAATTCACTGGGGTCCAAACTGGTGAAACCAAAGCGCAGAGCTCCACTCCAGCCAGTGTGCACACCACTTAGGCGCAGGCGAACCTGAATGATAACATTAATTAAAGGTTAACTTGTATTTTTTACATCTACAACATCTACCTGTTAAAAATAGAGTGAATTGAAAACAAACCTTCTCATAGAGGTGGACAGGCCTGTGGCTGAAGGTGATGCCATTACAGAAGCTGTTCTTGCGCGTGGCGCGACGAAGCTGCCCATCCAGCCTGATATTCTTGCCTTTGGCATGGGGGTGAAAACGGGGTGACTCGACACTGATGCTGACCGGAGGAGCAGACGTTCGTCTCTCCACAGCTGCCCCATTGTTGGGCAGGGTGTAGTACTGCCTGTTGGCCACCGGGCGTGATTGCAGAGTTGCATCTGTGGGTACAAAAATATCAGAAAGAATGACATCAATGATTCAACCTGATCAACCCAATTAGAGAACAACGTGGCATGTCAACAGCAGTTCTGCTTTTATGTGGCACAGGTCAAAAAAGCAACTGGAACCAGCTGTTGGAAAAAGAGGCGAACGTATCAGCACACAATAATTTGCTTGCAAGTGGTCCATGGCAGTTGGTTTAGAGGGCAGAGGCCAGTTATGTAAAGGAGCCCACAGTCTCACACATTTCCTTTCCCACACTGACACTCTGAAGCCTCTCTGCTCCCCTTAACAAGTACATTAAATAGTCTCTTTTAGCATGTAACCCACATTTACAGTATAAAAAGGCAAACTGTCCCAAATCAGTCTTCTTACCACATCCATATGGGACATTTATATCACAGAAATAAAACAAGGTCAATTTAGACAAAACCCATGTGCATATATCACTGGGAAACATAAAAAGGTCATTTAGCTTATGTAAAATCAATATAGATTTGAACTCTGCTAATATTAGCACCATCACAGGAGGGAGAAAACATAACAAAAAAAGTATATAAAGACGACAACAGACGCGATAAGTCTTCCTCTTATTTATGGGCTACACACCCTTGGCCTACAGCATAAACAAACCCTGAATATCCCCTTTCATTCCTTCACGGTTATCTTCAAAAGTGGAGAATGAATCACACAGTGTCTCGTCAGTAAAGAAATACCCAAATAAAAGGCTCAATCTTTAATCTCATCTTCACAGGAGTCAATGTCCTGCTTGGGAATTTATTCATGAGCATCAAAAAACAAATTAACAAGATCCGAAATAGAACAAGACAAACTGAACATGGGATGAAATGAGACTTGAATTGTTTGGGTTTAATAAATAAAATTAAAGCTGTAGATGAGTGTTTATGGTATAGACTGGCTGGAATCCAGTATTCAAAGGGAGGTGGTGTTTCTTTTCTCCTCCAGGGCCACAGAGTGATTACATTTCTGTTTAAAATTCACTGTGATCTAGTGTAAAGACAATAACTCAGTGAAATGTTCCACAGTACATTTCCTAAATTAGACATTATCACTGATTATATTCTAAACTATGAAGCAGCAGCAAGAACATCTGTAACATCTCAAATGATGTGCCTCTTTCCTTTCTACTCCAGGAATTTGGCTTTTGAGGGAGTAAAATATACTTTGGTATAGTGTATGGAGTACAGCATGTTGAGGGTTAGCCGATAGGTCTGAGGCTCAACTTCCTCACTGACAGAGTGATGTACTGGGACTCTGCCGTTAAAGGACCTACAAAGACTGATATAGACACTAGCCATTATTAGATGAAAAGCATAGCACAACAGGTCACACAAAAAGGGACAGCTCACTGTCAATGTTCGTGCCTCTCATGTATTAACATTACATTCAAGTCACAGAGCTAAGCATTCGAGTTTACCGAAAAATAAATCCCGGGCGATCTCTGAAAATCCCAGAGAGTCATTTATCAACACTTACCTCTGTTCCAAAAGTATTTTCAAAACCCTTAAAAACTCATAAAACCATCTGGATGAAAAGCATTTCCATCGGCAGCACGACAAAAAAAGATCTTTAACCATTTCCTCAGTTGCAACTCTGTTTCCTAATTCAAACAAAGATAGAGCATTTTATCTTTGCTTACTTTTACAACGTGAACCAAACTTAAAGATGGAGTTTTGTTTTTGTTTGCATGAGGACACACATGTCCATACAGGTGGTGGTTTCTGTGATCTACAGGTGCGCAAAACAAAAATGCAGCATTGTGCCAACAAAGGCAGTGATGAAGAGGACTGCTTGCAAGTAAACATGCATGCAAATAATGTAAAAAGTTTTAAAATGCTCAAAAATTCAAGACATTCAAGGCATTTGTTAGACCTCAAGCATACATTAAGTTCTGGTGAATAACACTGCATGTAAATATGACTTTTGGTTGTTTACAAGAAAACTCCACAGGGTACCTTTAAAGAATTTTGCATACACTTAAATATTTGTCTATAATGATGTTACCTTGTATTCAATTTCAAACAAGATAACGCTTCAATATTTTTCTATTGTTGCACAGAGGAAGCAACTACATGTATGTAATTTCCAGCTTCCTGTACAGGAAATAATAGTCATAGCTTGAGAAACAGGTCTAAAATATTTTTTTATTGTGGAACTAAGGCAATACCAGATGGTTAAAAGAGTTAAAAGAGAGGATTCTGGAAATAGTGTTGGTAAATTACCTATTGGGTTATTTAAAGATTACCGGGTATTTAATTTTTGCTAAATTGGATGCTTATCTTGAGTCCAATGTAATGTTAACAGTACTCTGCGGAATTGTCAGGAAATCCTTGTTATTAATGACAGCAGTGGCCATTATGTGAACTACGTCAGCATTGCTCATGCGCGTACTTGCACTTTGTAAAACAGTGAACACGCTTGGTCGAGGACTGAACACAGCCTCCGACGAAGGCCAGTTTGACAACAGAATGCAGTACCAAGCGGCTCTGACCAAGACTCCGACTCCAGCATCAACAAAAACACGGTGTGTTGAAGCAGAAGAGGTGCAAGAGGACAGTCGGGCATCAGTCGGTGCCCACCTCTGGAGACCTAAGCGGGGGTTACAGTTACGAAATGGAAAAAAACCTTTACATAGAAATGAGTCCACAGAAAGTCGTGCAAGGCTCTTGTTTTTTAAATTTACATTAGAATTCTTTCACAAATTGACAATACAACGTGATTAATGCATGTAAGTTGCTTCACATCATATATTTAATGGCACAAACTGGGGCTAAGTCACTGTCAGTGGTGGATAGCTACTCAAAAACAGGTTGATATTGGACTCTGGGTCTAAAATGAACATCCACTAAGTCAGTCATGTCAGTAAATTTGGGGTTTGTCCGGAAAATTCATTAATTAATTAATTGGATGGCCATTAAATCATTTGGAATCACGGCATACTGCCAGGTTTAAATTGCTGTATTTTCTATGTGTACCGACTGTGACTTTTGTGATCCTTGCTGTCCACCATACCATATCGTGACGTCCTCAGATCAAACCAGCTTACCAGCATTTAGGCTCTCAACACAATGACTATCTTTTGGCCGTAATATGCATCTGTGTTACATGTTATTAGAGATGCGGTGACACACATCCGGGGGTTAAGCCTCCAAAGAGAAAACATGAAGACGAAGAGAAAGGTCACAGATGTCTGCGTTTTTGACAGGGTCGGCGTCTGGATGATGCAGGGGCCTCGAGATCCTAGCTAAAATATAAAGCTCAAAACCAGACAATGCAGGTTTTTGGCTGGTAAAACTATTTTTGGCAGGTACATTTTCTCAGTTTACCTGTCATTGGTAGATTGGCCAAAAAGTGAATTTTGATCTGCTACCACATGTGGTTCAATTACTCTTAGAGACCAGTTAGTAATGGGAATGGTAGCTCCCTATTTTTCTCATAATGAAAGAAAAAGCACAAATAAATACAATCATAAGACTCCACAAGACACACTGCCATGCCAAAGCTTTTTGAAATGTAAAACTGATTATGTGCATTCGTCAGAGTTATCTTTGGCCACAAGATGATCAGGCTCTCTATTCTCTCATAACTCTAGGCTCTAGTGTTCATCATACTGTAACTCATTCACTGAGCAAAACATGAGCCTCTAGAAGAATTTCAGGGTCTGTTTTGTTACATCTTTTCAATGATGCCACTTGATCCTCTGTTCACAGCTAGCATTATGGCCTGTTTTATTATAATGCATAATTAAACCTACTTGCTAATATAGTCTGCACATCTCTAATATAGACCCTAAGTGTAAGTGCAGATATTCTATGAATTCCATGTTAATCAAAACCATACAGTGCAAGCAATAGGACCCAAGCTGCTCCTGCTCCTCTGTGACTAACTGTTCTCAGTCCAAAGCCTACGTCAGCTGGCTCTGGTGGCAGTAACCACATCATTTAGCCGCCGAGTGGGTCTGTTGGGGGCGTGGGACTGTGACAGACATTAAATCAAAGTGATATGGGGAACTGATTATCAAGTAATGCGCTTTAGGTGTCATGACAAAGTGGCCTCAGAAAGTGATAGTCTGAGAGCTCATAATGACAGCTTTATGCAAAAAAAACTGGGGCTGACAATCAAGTCTCATACAGGCATAATTCCCTGGCAATCACTTGAGATTGTACTTTATATAAGACAGCTTAGATATTTGGGATAATGGCAGAATTTTACCCGGCAGCATCATTGTACGTTTAAAGTATGGTCCCATTCTTAAGTGTTTGTTAAGTTTCTACTTAGAAAGTGAAGACTGTAGTTATTTATGATTTTCCTATCCTATTTTCTTATGGACCTCTTATGTGTGCTCATGTTGTTTGTTTTGTTTTGTGAGTCTTGGCTGCTGCAATATCCCACTAAATAACTATCTATCTATCTATCTATCATGTATGATATAATCATTCCTGTCTGAAATAAAAGACTCAAGCATTATATATATAGCAAGTGACACAAAATGGGCTAAAAGAAAGCAGTACGTAATTGTTATTTACCACAGTATGGTGCCACTCAAAAAGCAGAAACTGAGAAACTAGAACAATACTTAATATAAAAGCTAAAAAATCTAACTAGTGCGTTTATTAGGATAGGATCTCTGGCAATAGTTACAACGGAGCTTTCCTGAAGGACTGTTGTTGATGATGGTCCTCCTTACGTTGTGATGATCATCAACTAGTCAAATTCTCGCCCTTCATCTGCCTACTATCTGTGCCTTAAATAAGGCTACATCACTGATTATAATGTGCAAAAAGTGCATTCTCAGAGCAAGGCGGCTGCAGGAGCGCTTGTTTGGAATCGCTCCCTGGGAATCACGCTCAGCTCCCCCCGTGATGGGAAGCGCGTCTCAACGCAAGTATAGAAGAATCAGGACTAGCCATGTGTATCTTTGGCTATCAGGCTGTTTCCACACAGACACCGCTTTGCGTGAGTGCATTACAAGCCCGGTGAATGACACATTTAATATCAAGCCTCACCTATTAAAGGTTTAGGTGTCGTATTCCCCATTATATCCAGAAATCCCTCGCACCGGCTGACAAGTTAATTCCGATTGCAGTGTTTCTCTGTCCATCCGTGTATCCTCGGTCTGATGAGTATCTGCTTGGAACCAGTTCAATCTGAGTATCAGCGCCTTCAAAATGTGCTGTATCTCCCCGCTGAAGCATGAACACGCTCTTCTTAATGTCAACCCCAAGCCGCTGCGACAGGCAGACACCTCCAACTGGCGCACAGCAGCCCCCTCCTTTCTTTAGTATAGGCTCCCCTCTGCACGACTTTAAAGATACAGTAAGCAGAGATCCCCCCCCCCCCCCCCCCCNNGATCCCCCCCCCCCTCAAGAGCATCAAAGAGCATCTGAATAATTCATTTAATTATTCACTCAAAGCCTGTGATGAAGGCTAATGAGTGTGTAGCCTATAGGACAAACATCATGCTTGAAGTGGATGTGTAATCTAAAAGGAAGGCAGTTATTCAGCACATTTGCATATAGAGGGGTCAGGCAGACAGCGTGCTGCAAACTCTGATAGCAATTAAAATTATTACAGGATCATTGATCATGGTTGTTTCAAAAAATCATCCTGTGTCATCCTGTAGGAGTTAAACTGAATAAAGACATTGACAAGATTATTGATCCTTGGTGTCAGATTTTTTTTAAAAGGACACAGATCCATCATGAGGAGGTAATTAACACTTAATTAATCACGTATTAATATGCTGGACAAACAGACACTTTTGATAAAAGTCCAAACCCATATGAGGAAATCCCCTTTTTTCCCCACCCTATCCTCTGCCCTCCCACAGCCTTGACTGCTGGGCTTCTCTCAAGCTGTTTCCTGTCTTCTGGACCACAGCGCTCTCTGAGGAGCCATGGCCTGTAGGGTTTGTAGACCGTGAGTGAAGGGAGTGCCGGGCCAGCATATCTCCCATAGTGGAGAAGAGAGGCCTGAGGCACTACACAGCAGCTGTGTGTCAAATATTCTCAACAAAGCATGCCGGTTAAGAAACAAAAATGCATGAAAATGTAGATGTGTGCAAATTATTATTCTTTGATGTCAATGCATGATTGGAATTGTGACTAATTGGAAGGCAGAACTAAGGTTTTTTACTGCTTTGTGTATGCAGGTTGACCACACTGACATAATCCATATCGCATCCATTTCACAGAAGAAAAGTGCTTTCGGGCATATACATATTATTCAGTATGAGGACAAACAAGCCTCGTGAGAGATGGCGATTGGGTGAAGGCAGACTGGAACTAAATATAACTCAAAGACAAAAGCATTTGTTTCTCCTCAATGCTGTTTGTTTTAGCAGGATATGGTGGCTCCTTATTTGCCGTGGGTGAATGGTGTTTGGGGTGAAGCAAAGCAGAAGTGAAATTCCCCCCACACCCTTAGAAAGAAAGATCAGCTATGGCAAAGGGGATTAACACAGGAAGTGAATAAGAGGCTGCAATGGAGTCTGCAATCAAGCTTTCCCCGTAAACACAACAGAGCTGCAGTAACAAGTGCTGCTTCCCCCTGATGCTTGCTTTACTGCCTGAGTGCAAACTATGGGGTGTTAATGAAAGCATAATGATTGCTGGGCTGAATTGATTCCAAAGGCGGGGAACAGTACTTTCAGGATCATTTTCAGCAGAATCATTTAAGACACCGTAGGATGCCTGCAGAAATATACAAAGACAAAAACAGTACAAAGACATCTTAAATGAATAGTTTGATATTTTGGGAAATATGCTACTTTGAGACGGTCCCCCAAGGAGAACGACAGCATGAATTGTTTCAGTAAATGTCTGAAAACGACATCTGTTTAGGTTTAAGTGACAAAGCCCTCGAGTGGTTGTAGTAATTATATCAGGAGCAAAGGAGGAAGTCAGGTGACGGTATTGTAGCGTGATTAAGTCCTTGTAGGGAGGAGTACAGGGCGGAGTGGTGTGTCAACAGAACATCAGACCTTAAAGGTCCAGTGTGTAGCATTCAGGAGGATCTATTGGCAGAAATGGAATATAATATTAATAGATATGTTTTCATTAGAGTATAATCAACTGAATATAGGAATTGTTGTTTTCGTGTTTATCTATAAACGCTGTGGATCACCTTTAATAGATGCCGCCATGTTGAACCGCCATGTTTATACAGTAGCCCAGAATGGACCAGTCAAAAACTGGTAGTAGGTAGGGACTGTCACGTTTTTCGCGAGTTTAATGGCCACAGTAGTTTCTCCTACACACTTCACAGCTTGTTCTCATTCCCAGGTCACCACATACCGATGTGAGTGGTCTTCAGTTAATTGCAATCTGTACTAAGTCCTACACAGTATAACAGGAGACTGTTGAACCCATGGCTACTGCATCAAATACTCAACCTTGGTACATGGGGCGCCATCTCTACCAGGTGAGCTATCTGGGCTTAAAAGCATGACGATCATTCCATACATTAACATGTTCACTATTGTAACCGTGACAGTGAAGCTCCTCTAACCTTAACCAGTCCCACCAGGAAGATGCCATCACAATAATTAACGCAAATTAAACCAATCCCCGTGAATTCTGTGGGACTTTTGTCCAAACAGCTTCTTCTACAAATTTGATCAATCATTGTAGTTTTCCATGCAAAACGCGGAGTGTTCATCATCATCAAACTCCCTCCCTTGTTTCTAGTCAGGAAGATGCAGACCCTACACACGTGAACGTCTCACATTTACCCTCAGAATCCTGAGCCTTTTTGGTAACGTTACTTGGAAAGTTTCAAACAATGCAGTTTTATGCATTGGAACAAGTTGCCTTCAATTTTTAATTAAAGACCACCCAATCAATTTGTACCTATTTTTGGTAATTTTCACTTTCTTCCACAATTTCATTACAGATAAAATGCCTAAAAACACTGTAGCATGCATCTATTTTGTTTTAGAAAAGCTGCCATGAACTCAGCCATTTTAGGCTGCAACAATCCCACAAAAAGCCAGCAGAATCCTGGAGGGCCTGCTTAACTCATTTTAACCCAAACCACGATCTTCCCTCAACCTAACCAGGTTACTTTTGTGCCTACACCTAACCAAACCTCAACCGCAGAGTTGTTTTTAAAATAAAAGACATTTATTTTCATTAATTTGTAACAGATTTGAAAGGCACAGACAAATGGCAACCTTGTGGTGATAATGAGACTTTGGAATTGACTGTCTAAGATATATGGGCATATTGTTACCTTTGGACAGAGCCAGCCTAGCTGTTTCCCCTTATTTCCAGTCATTCTGTTAAGCTAAACTAACTGCTAGCTGACTGTAGCTTCATACCATAGAGACATGAGAGTGGTATTGATCCTCTCTTTGCAAGAAAGTGACTAAGCCTATCACCCCAAATGAATAGATATAAATGTGAATGAATAATAGATAATTTAGTGCTTAAACAATAGTAAAATCTAAAATGTACTACAGCACTCAGAGATGGACTATGAGCATGCACCCTTGATAGACTTTATATAGGCCTACTTCTCTGACATGCAGTGAGAACTCAGTACATTCAGAAAGTGTGCGGACAGTGAATGTTAAATAAAATGCATTAGTTGAGAGAGCGTGTCGGCAGTGCCCTCATACTCAGTCAAAAGCCTAAATTACAACCCGGCATCACCCTCAGCCCTGACCCCTGGACACTGTTAACACAGATATGTCAGTCTGATTGCTCTGATAGAAGCAAAGACGCTTTTGGAAGTTGATGTGGGAACCAACAGAGAAAGAGCCTACATTTTTGGTTTGACCACCCATGTAGAAACAGAAACTTTATTTCAAGTCATGTCTCTTCACTTTTCTACTGCAGTGCAGAGCCATACATTCTGGCAAGAATTTGGTGTGAATAGTTAGTGTGATGTGTGAAAACGATTGGTCCAGAGTTGTGATTTACACCAAGAAAAGTAGGTGAAGGACATACAGTACAGCCCACTGTAAGAAAGCTGCATCTATTTTAATTTAATTGGATGCAAACGGGAATGCTCTGCTCTAAAATGAACCTTAATGCATACTGTCCCCCTTTTGGGTATCAAGCATCTGTGATGCAGCAATCTCACGAGGGCCCTTACGAATAAAGTTATTTCCAGAGAAGGAGGGCAGACATGCCTCGTTTGCTCAAGGAAACTTGGCCCACAGCAATGTGACTGCTGCCATGCAGAGCAGCGCAGTGACTGGTCTTTGGACAGCAAAGTGTTACATTTGCAGTATTTTAATTCTCTGTAAAGACTCAAAAGCAGTGTAGAAATGCTGAGCAGATGGCTGTTTGGGAAGGTTTGTATGTGGTGGTCTCAGTATCAGGGGAGGGCTGCTGTCCAAACCCCAACCACTGATCTAATGGATGAAGTGAGTCATACCCACCTTCAATGTGAACACAACCATCTCCATCAAACACACATGGGCCAGCACAATGAGCCACATTCATACAACAATGTTTTTCTGGTCACCACTTTCTGTTCAAGCAGTTTTCTACTACAGTGCATCACATCTGTTTTCAATGTGTGCTTCTGTCTTTTCATTAGGTCAATGCTTAACAGGCCATTGGAGTCAAGCACCTGCTTTTTAAAAACACAGAAGTATTACCAAAGCCATTGTATCAGTATAAAGTCCCTCATGTAGATGATGACCCATACTGAGTAGAAAACTTTTCTTTTTCTTTTTTAATCAAAGCAATGGTGCAGCATTGGTCTTTAATTGGAGCCATTTTAGAGGGAGTTCTTGCCATGTGTTCGGTACCCTCACAGATTGTTCTAATTTCCCAAATCCTCAGATCATGAGACTGAATGCTGTGGCAGTCTTGAGCAGACAATGTGCATGCATGCTTGGTTTCACTTCTGCAATTTCAGATTTGAGTAAATTAGAAACACCACTACGAAGTGAATCACTGGCAAGTGGGAAAACAAAGCACTGCAGCTGGTATGAAGACTGCACAGTAATTCAGTAAATTGACAATTGGTGTATAACTTTCTACTCATGTTCACTCTATAATTAATTTACCTTTTTTTTAGTGCTTTGGGTTGTTTGCAGAAAACTATTTAAATACTTAATTACTCATTAAGAACAGCAAGCAGAGAACTGCTAAAAATATGAAGAAATGCTCTCGTTGCAAACAGCCTTTCAGACCATCCCACCACTCCTCAACCGGTGTAGTCAGTACCTCTTTCAGTCGCAGAACATTTCACAATATGTTATAATGCTGTAATACTATACATGAGGAAGAACCAACTTCCTGTTTTCAAAAACAAAAAACT